CAACAGCCTGTTGTACATAGAAAGCTCTGAAAAAGCACAGATTGATTTTAAATTGTTACACATTATTTTGAACACTTTGTTTATCTTTACTTTTCTTATTTTTAAGTCTGAATCAGAATCCTTTGGCCAATAAATGGAAAAAGAAAATGTAGAGTATGTATACTTTTATTTTATACACCCCCCCACACACACATATTCATATAATATATACATGAATATTACTCAGTCTTAAAAATACAAGAAAATCCTGCCATGTGTAACAACATGGATGAATGTTGAGGATGAATGTTGAGTGAAAAAAATCAAGAATGGAAAGATAAATACTACATGATCTCACATTTAAGAAGAATCTAAAAAGGTCAAATTCATAGTGAGACAGAGGCAAAGGACAAACAAAAGGAGATGGATAGATAACATTGCCCCATTAACCTGTTGCTAACACCCCCAGGGGAGGAGAAGGATTACACTTTCTAACACACACACTTACTACCTTGATAGGTCTTTTCCTGCCTTTTGGTCATATACAAGAGGTAAGAGGAGGAAGGGGCATGAGAAGAAAGAAAATCTAAAATGTATAAAGAGGTAAGACACCCCAACTCCCATGGGCACCAGCTTTGGATCCCAGCCTCTCCAGATGATTTTCATATTATATTCTCTCTCTCTCTCCCCCGCCCCTCCTGTCTTTCTTTTGTCTCTTAAATAAAATTTGCTTTCTACATCAGCCTCAGCATTTCTCAGGTTTTTAATCTTCAACACTAGGGAATGAGGACCTGATATTCATGACATATATCAATAGTAACAGGAAATGGTGGTTACCAGCGTCTGGAAGGTGAGAGAAAGGGAGAGATGTTAGTCAGAGAGTACAAACAGTTATAAGATGAATCCATATTGAAGACCTAAGAAGCAGCGTGGTGACTCTAGTTAATTAGAACATACTGTACACTGGAAATGTCCTAACAGTGTAGATGGCATGTGTTCTCACATCATACAGTCACACAAAGGTAACTCCACATGAAGTGATGGATGTGTTAATTTTCTTAATTGTGGTGATCACTTAACAATATACAATGGGCCCTCAGTATCCATATGTTCTCCACCCATGAGTACAACCAACCAAGAATTGAAAATAATTGCACAAATAGTCCTAACCATTCTAAATACTAAACATGTACAGAATTTTTTCTTGTCATTTCTCCATAAACAATACAGTATAATACTATTTTCATAACAATTTCACTGCATTAGATATTATAAAAGTATTTTGGAGATGATTTCAAGCAAAAAGGAGGAGGTGTGTAGTATATATGAAAATACTATGTCATTAGATATAAGAGACTTGAGCATCTGCAGATTTTGGTATCTGTGGGGGATGCTGAAACCAATCTCCCATAGATACCTAGAGACAATTTTATATCATAATATTACATTATACTTTCTAAGTATGTATAATTTATATTTGTCAGCCGTATATCATTATTTCTGGAAAAAATAAAAAATATAAATATAACTGTTAGTTTAAAAAAAACTATACTGTACTTTTATGGAAATCAGTATGGAGGTTCCTCAAAATATTAGAAATGGTACCACCAGATGATCCAGGTATACCACTCCTTAGTATTTATCCTAAAGAATTAAAATTATTATACTTAGCAATATATACATACCCACATTTATAGCAGCTCAATTCACAGTAGCCAAAATACCAAACCAGTATAGGTGCCCATCAATGAATGAATGGATAAAGAAAATGTGGTATATATTTGATGGAGTCTTTTGCAGTCATAAAGAAGAATGAAATTATATCATCTGCAGGAAGATAGATGGAACTTGAGAACATTATGTTAAGCGAAATTAGCCAAAATTATAAAGTCGAGGTTGTATGTTTGTATGAGGGAGCTAGACAGGGAAAAAGAAAGGTCAGGATCTCATGAAAATGGAAGGCAGATCAGTAGAGGAAATGGACCAGCAGTAGGGAAAAAGGGAGAAAAAGAGGGAATATTGGCCAAATTACACTGTTATATTGTGTGCATATACAAATAGGTAGTGATGAATCCCACCATTGTGAACAATTATAATGTACCAATAAAAATGTGGGAAAGAATTAAAAAAGAAATTATTACTTCTAAAAAGTCTGTATCAACCTATTCACTTTATATAGTTTTTGTGCAGATTAAAATTCCAAATAACCACAAAGTATGCTTCTAATCATTAGCTTGGAAGTGTTTAAGCTATTGTTGTTACAAGAATATTTGATAAAAGTTTATTTGAAGTAGATATAGAAGTGTTTCTGATCAGCAAAGGAGCAGATTCATTCATTCCTAGAATCCAATTCCTGTCCGGTCTATCTTCTTAGTGGAAAAACTTCTAGATACCTTATCTATGTATAAGGTGGACAGTATTTGCTGATAAGGACAGGGAGGTGCTCCTGTTCCTGTGAAAGTGGTGTGTATAAGGTAGGAATCTGCAGGTGTTTACTTTCTGCAAATACTGGGTGGCTATCATTCCGGGGGCTTAAAGATTTAACATGATTGACAAAGCCCATCTGCTAGATCTCCAACCCAAAGCCCAGGTACTTAGAGACTTCCAGTCTTCAAGGCTTTCTTTCCCACAGAGATGGTCAAGACTTCCTTCCTCCTCCCTATCTTAGTAGGGGAGGGAGGGTAGGTCTTACAGGTAAGGAGTAGATTGGGCTCTTGACCAAGTTGTCAGGGACCTGCTCCTGATCATTGGGGCTTCCCAAATCCTCTTTCTCAGTAAATTTCAACAACTCTTTCCAGCTACCACCGGCAGCTGTTTGTCCTGGTTTAAGGTCCTTATCCTCTCTGAGACTTGCTTACTGCATCTGTAAATGAGGGATAATGAAATATCTACTAAGCAGGATCTTTTAAAAATTAGAGGAAATAATATAGTTAAAATATCTTATAAAGAGCATAGCACAGAACAAAAGCTAAATAAAAATGTGTTCTCTTCTTTCTTCCCTTTGCTTTGCAATTATTAACAATTACTCTTTGACTTCTTTTATAGATCACTTTTTTTCTTATCTCTAAAATAAGGTTAAACTAAATGATTTATAATCTTGTACACTAGTGAATGTGTAAAATGCCTCCACTTGGATAGCTTCAAGAGAGGAAAAGTTTTTCTTTCTGTTCTTATGTAAGTGGGATTAAATAGTGCTGTGAGATTAAGAAGGGGAAATTTGATCTGGGTGTTATTGATGAGTAAGATTTTAATAAGCAAATAAGTATTGGCAGAATGAGGAAGGACATATATTCTGATGCATTGTCAGACTTAACAAAAGTGATTTGGATAAACTGATGTATGCCAAGAAGACAGAATTTCTCCAGAGCTACATTTGCAAACTTGAAAGAGGACCACTCAAAGGAAGCAGGAGCATGTCTCATGGGGAGCTGGGTCTCTCCTAAGCTCCCAGTGCACTTAGGCAGGAAGGCAGCAGACCTTGGAGGAGGCCTTGCTTTCCCACTGGACAGTCATCTGCGTGAGAGCAAGGACTCAGTCTGTTTTGTTTGCCAGGTGTACTTGCTGAATGTTGAACTTTGATGAATAAATGAGGATCAGTGATGCTCCTCAAATATTAATGTCTGAGTGTGGAATGTGATCCAGGAATAGAGAACTTAGTGGTATTTTTATATTAGCAAATTTCCTGGAACACTTCCTGAAGACACCCCAGAGCATTTTTGCAAATGTTGATTTTTTTTTAAGTGTGTACATAGCTTTTTTTCTTGCCTGTTGTACAGCTGTGAGTGTGGGAGCACAATTCTCTGGGGACCTGGGCATATGTTCTCTCCCTGAGAAAATCTGGGAGAGAACCCCAAAGGACACATCCTACCCTTATCCCAGCAAGAAGGAAAATTCTGCCTGAAATGCTCCCTTGGTCAATGAATAAAAGTGTGAGCTGGGAAGAGATCTTCAAAAACTTATTGTGCTTTAGAACCAAGAGTGAATTGATATATGAATTAAAATTCTAGGTTCAATCTTTGATTTCTCAAAGTAACTACCTTATCTTAAGCTCTCTAGATCTCAGTTTCTCCTCCATAAGATTAATTCAAAGGATATGTCAAGATATTGTGTAGCTTGGGCTAGAGATGCAGCTCGGTGGTTACATCCCCTGGGTGCAATACCCAGCATGGAAAAATAAATAAATTCACACATACTACTTTGGACCAAACTACTGAGTTACTAAGATGCATTGGGAATACATATCTCATGCACTTCCAACCAGTGAATGACCTAAACCCTCAAAGTGTATCCAAATTCCAGAGTCTGCAAAGTTTTACCCAAAGAACTTCCTTTCTAACCTAAAGCTTTTCTAGTTTTATGAGCTTCTCATGATAGAAATGCGCTTACTTTTTGCCCTCCTGTCTTCAGGTTTCCAATTTCAAGTGCTCCATGGGCTCACATCCCTTGTGTCTTTATAGCAGCTTCTGGGTTTAGATCCTTCTACTGCAGTACTGTGGTCAGAGCAATATCAGTGCACTCCTGCTTTCAAAGCTTCATCCCAAGAGCAATAGAGAGAATTTGGAAGCTTCCTTTGTGTGGTGTGAGGAGTGTCCTTGGGATCCAAGATCCAGTTGCTCTCACCAAACCGGTGCACATAGCATTCCCAAAGATTTTTCAGCCAAGTCAGCATGTGTGTCATTAAAATCAGACTGGCTACCCCTTTTTTCCCCCACAGAGACGTGTGTCCCTATTGGAGCTTATTAAAACTAACTAGGCATGTACCATTACTTTTTCTCCTTGTATTCTTGAATGGCCTATTCTTAAAAGGAACATTCAAATGGAGATCAATAATCAGTCTCTTAGTTAGGGCAGGGGGAAAAAAATCCATTGGTACCTGCATTCAGCTGTGTGTAAGAGGTCTTATCATTAAAATAGCAGCAGGCATTCATAAACCAAGCTTGCCAGCAGTGCTGGACATACAGGATTAAAATAATCATCCATCAAGCTCTGTCTCATGAATGTTTTCCTTTGACTTTTGGCAGGATCTCCAACCTGAACATATGCCAGTCGACATGGGAACACTGAGGCCAGCAATTTAAGGATTTTCACATTTCTTGCAGTGGTAAGCTTTAAAGATATAAAAATAAAGAGCATTAAAAATTACCGGGTTCTGCCTTTTTGCACTAGATGTAAAAACTAAATTGTTTATTTATAATATTTTTAATAACACAAGTATATTTTATATATATGTGTGTGTATATATACATATATCTACAATATATATTCAATTATATTCCAGAACTACAGTAAATATAAGAGAAAATCTGTAATTCATAAAATATTAGATATAGTATTTTTCAATGGGCAAAAATAGGGAAACTAAATACTATTTAGATTTCTTTATTTCTTCAGAGTTGAACCAAGTGGGGGAAATGGTTTTAACTTTGGACAATGAAACTGTTTCCATTCATAACAGATACTACTATCAGAGTACGGGAGAACACAAAGCTTAAGATCAATGGGGATAAAAAAACAGAAAAGTAATGGCTTTCAATTCTGTAGAAGGTTCTCATGCCCTTAACATGGATCACACGATTCAACTCTAAAAATCCCAAATCTGTAGTTAATTAAGTGATTGCATAAAATGAAGAATATCTGATACTGATGGCATGCACCCCACATTGGATGCTTCCTGCCAATAGAGGCACATCTGTGTGCCATTACTGGAAAAGAGAGTTAAAATGGTAAAGATATTGGAGATAGATGGCAAATCATGTTATTGGAAGATCATTTTGAAAAGCCTTTCACTCCTCTGTATGTATGTATGTGTGTGTTTATGCACCAGTGCACACACACATACACAGATCTGAGGCCAAGTTACAATGTTGGAAATAGTAATAGTTAAACATTCACATCTTTTATGGAAGGAAGCACGGTATCTGGACATGTTTCCAATGTAATGTAGAAATTGCACCATGATGTGATTGAGCAGTCAAACAAGATCATCTGGACTCCAGTGGATTCTTTGTTCCCTGCATTGTTGAACTTAATAGATTAAGTTCAGAATTGATGCCCATTCCATTTTTCAGTTGAAGTTGAGCCAGATCTTCATAGAGTGAGACTGTATTTAACACATGAAGTTCTCTGAGGGCTACCATTTCAATATATTTTTCTGTGTTTTTGAGTCCCCATTTTCAAGTGGCCTATAGCAGGTTCATGTTCATTGGACAACACATGACTTTCAGCTATCTGATTTTCTATTCTTATATACTGGATATGGCCTAAAATCAATGAATTTTTGAAAGATGTATTTTGGCAATTCACCATTCATATTTAGTCTTCTAAGTATATTATTCTCAAATTTCCTTGCTCCTTTATTCAGTTACATTATTGCAGTAACTTTTAGTTTGTATACTCAATCTCTGTTTAGGGAACAATGGAAGAATAATTGTGAAATAGCTCAGAAGATGCATCACTTAAACTGATACTTGGAACTGACAATACAACTTCACATTTCTATATGTATAAAACTGAACGAATGTACCATTACAGTTTCTTTAATCTGAATATTATATTCCTCCTGAAAATTAAATAACTTTGCACTTGAATTTCACATTTCATTTTATGACTTAGATGCAATTTCTAAGAACTATCACCAAACCCTAGTTCCCGTACATAAATCATGGTTTCCTCATATACACATGGAATTTAAGAGAATATTCTAATTAGTATTTAAAGCCCAGGTATCAGAAGGGCCAGAATTCAACTAAATAGGGATTTTTAAAATCTTAAAGGCTGAGCAATGTAAGGAAGAAAGATAAAATGGAAGAGAAACATGCATGCAATTGATTTTAATGAAATCATAAACCTATGTGGAAGTGATCCATGACTCATTTTGGGACCACGGAAGTGATAGCATACAATAGCTCATATCATCTATATCTATCTCAAATAATGCTTTTTGTTACCAAGAGTAAAGCTCTACCAAAGAAACTCAGTATATCAAGCTAAAGTCGTTTGCATCACTTAGGAAGTGAGAGGTTTACTTGGATGCAGCCTGGAGTTCCTCATCTCTGTAGAAGAGGAACGGCAACACTGGATTCTGTCCTACTCACAGAACACTGCCTACCACACAAGCTTGTTGGTGAAGGAGTGCATGGACGTGGAGTGGAGTGCCAGGGCACTGAATTAGGAGTCAAGGAGTCTCTGTCCTAATCCTAAAACCATCGCTGATTTAGCTGGAGAAGTTTTTACTTCTTTTGCCTCTGAGATTTTGAATGTCTTCTAACTGTTGGGCCTTCAATGTTAGTTTATAAACAGTTTAATACTCATTCCACTCCTCTGTAATCTTACCCAGAGATAAAAGTTATAAATGATAAACACTCTGAGAAATTTAAAATCACTACATAGGAGCTAGCCTGGCTAGAAAGTTTATTTCTCATTAATATAACTTGTCTGATTTGAATAGTATGCCTAAAAAGCATTGTCGTTGATCTGGTCTATGTCTTCACATTGAACGAAGGTTTGCAGTTGCTCTGAGATCTAATATATTTGGATTTTCTCATTCAATTATGATAGCAACAGAAGTTACTTATTGTAACTGTCCCTGGTTTGTATCTAAACTTGTCCCTGGTGTTTATGCTGCACTGATCCCAACTGCAGTGTTCTAGAATTACTGCAAAAGAAGAGCAGGGAGAAAACAGAAGAAATGTGTGCAATGCAGCCTTGTCAGCAAGACAGCGAGGAGGGGCCTCCTGGTTGATCCTTGAGTTGGATCTCTCCTTGCTCAGATCTCTTTCCCCGGGATTCTTTTCTGACATAGACTTTTTCCTCGACCAGACTGCACTTATTTCCCTGATCCTAACCTTTCCTACTAACTCCGGTCACCTTTCTCTTCTCCTTCACACCTCAGAAAGTCCTTTGCTTGTTTACAATTCAGGGCTTTTTTTTTTTTTTTCAGCTATTGACCCACAGCCCTGTGCTTCCATAAATCCTGCTTTAAGTGTTTGATCTGTAAGACAAATACACCCCCATAGCCCTGAGTTTACTCTCTGACTCCGTTTCATTACGAACGTTGTAGACAATCAATATGAATTTGGGGGAAATGTCTTGGGTCAAAAAATACCATTTTCTTGAAAACACTGTGGTCTTTGCACCTATTAAGAATTGTTGATGGCATGTCCTTAAAGAATAAAGCCGTAATTGTTAGAAAATGTAACCTAAATAATAAACAGGAAATTCCCACTATTACACATAACATTGAAAATCTTCCAGACCTCCCAGTTCATGTACTAATGTTAGAAGCAATCAAGGACTATGAATAATGGATGAAGTTAAGCATAGTGGTCCAAAATTTTATCCAGAGTGCTAGAGAAGCACGTTAACATAATGGATGTGGGTCAGAGAAATTGGCTGACATATGAATATCAACCATGAGTAGCATCTACTTACTTTTTTTTTTTTTAGGGGTAAAATGTGTATACTATACAAAGGTCACCATTGGGAAGATACTTACCTATGTGCACAATCATCTTCCCTGATAGCACCCTTTCCCAGCCCCAGGACCTGCAGACTCATGGAAGCATCATTTGTATTTTCTATTACTATTAAAAATCACCCTTATTTCTACAAACTTATTCTCCCAAGAGAAAAAATTACTGATGATCTCTAAAAATCTGGTGGTCTTTCATTCTGTACTCACAGTACAATCCAACTTAAACCTTTGAGTCACAAAGAAATGCATCTGGGAGAACAATCAAAGAGAATTAAGATAAGAATAAAGTTAAGTATGAGAAATGTTGTCCTAAAATACTTCATACAGATTTCCATGTGATTATAACTGACCCAATTAGCCAGAAAATTAGTTTGAAGTCATCACAGCAGATCACACAACTAACAACCCAGTGAAACAGTTTTCTCAGAATCTGACTGATCTGGGTGCTTTTTTGAAATTTACAGTATTCCCAACTGAAAAGGAATTTCTCTTTCCAATCATTGGTCTCCAACTTGGTTTCTCCCTGAAGCAAAATTGGGTGTGGGATATAATGCAGAACTCCTTAGGACCCTTCCCAGGAACAGGATCATGAATGATAGAAGCTGACAGAAATTTGAGTAGGGTCTCTAAAATCTCAACCATTTTCATCAGCATTTTACTGAAGCTTCAGAAAACAGCAAGTATTTTCTATTCTAGTCACCCACACTTATTTTGCAACTGATCAAAATAACCCATGACTAACAATAGGAACGAGGGAACCACTGTATCTGCAACAGTCCCATCTATCACTCAGACATTTTTGGTGTAATAAAGTCAAAAGTGAATTTTCTTCTTTTATTTTCAAGTTTTGCATCTGACAAAATGTCATTAGAGCACAGTGACTTATGGAAAATTGGGGCGATTGGGAGCCTCTGATAAAAAGCAATCTTTACAGCACTGAGTATTCTGCAAAATTGAGGGGGAAGGGGGAAAAAGATTTTAATAATATCTGTTGTCTTATCAACCATCTGCAAAAATTCTAATTAAATATTTAAAGGCATTATAAAATGCACTGTAAAAGCAAAAATATGATTCTGGAAAACATTTTGTAAGAGCTTTACAATGTAAAATTTATTTCTCTTGCCATATAGAGGGTGAAGGAAGCTGAGAAACATAAATGGTTTTGGGCGCATTGTGACTTCATCCTGACATCAGACAGAAAGACATGCTCTGACTTCCCATCCCTTGGTTATGTACTTCACCTTTCCAGCCTCTGTCTGTGTGTGTATGTGTGTGTATGTGTGTGTATGTGTGTGTGTGTGTATGTGTGTGTGTGTGTGTCTGTGGGTGGGTGGGGACTGTCTAATAAAGTAGAAGGGAGATATCATCAAAAGTGAAACTTTTAGAGATTACATGAGAAGGTATGCCAATTAGACCAAATACTAATTTCCTTATGGAATGACCATTACTGTTAAGATTACACATAATAATTCTAGAATTGTTCAAGGGTTTGCTTTGTTTCTTAGTGTTTCTGTGTTGCTCAATGAACCATACTCCCATATTGTCCTAGCACCACCAGGACAATTGCTGTATCTTTGGATTCCTCTGAAATCTTGATTTTATAAAGAGGAGACCTCATTATAAAAATA